GTCCGGCGGGACCTCCCACTTTCGGCGACATATAGTCCCTCATCCCATTTCAAACCCTACTCCTCCAGTGATGATGCAGATCCGATCAATGCAAGCGCCAAAACAGTTCCCAGAATTCTACAATTGCTTCCAGTTCAAAATTTTGCGAGTGGTAGCATCTAGGAAGCACTGTTCGGCAGCACTAATAACTTTAGATAGATGAGCGACGGAACTCTTCAGCGATATTCAACGTTGCGAGTGATCAGCGCAAATATTAGTATTTATTTTGCCAAGTTGTAAATTCCGAGCGAAATAAGCCCTCTCTAAATGATATGCTATTCAGAGTCTAAATGTTGCTGCTTTTTCTGAAAAAATAAAAAGGGACACTTAGGACGACGTGGGTTTTGAAGCTGTACATATGTCTCAACCTCATAGTCGGTCTAAAGTAAGAACTGAAATTTGATGACACTTTGAAGAGTGCGCATCTAACCCTGACCAAAAATTTGAAATTAAAACTAGACAGTGAGAGCGACATCGCCTTTATGGGCTGCATTCACTGCAGAGAAATTGGAAACCGATTGAGTGCCTATTAAACGAAAATGACGCCTGGCAATGGAAAATGAGAAATTTGGTACTGGTTATCGGTAGTGTCTCCAACGCTGAATCCTTAACGGCAGTGTCCCGGCAGAACTTCGAAAACCAGTTTGTAACATTTTCAGGGCCTTCTCGCCATGGAAAACCCATATCTGAGCTTTTCTGCGCATAAAAATGGTGAAAATGAGCCTTTCTCAAAGCTTTCCAGGTCCGCATATAGTGAAAAATACGTGTGAGTGGGTGGGGTCCGAAACGAGAGAGCCGGGACTTTCAGCGCTTTTCCTCTGAATGCGGACTTGGAAAGCTTTGAAGAAGGCTCATTTTCGCCAATTTCACGCGCGAAAAAGCGTAGGTATGGGTTTATCATGGCGAAAAGACACTGAAAATGTGAAAAAATGGAAAACGAAATTCTGCCAGGACACTGCTTTTAAGCACCTGTCAGACTACTCAAAGGCCTCAGAAGCGCTCAGTTTCACTGGTTTCTCTTCACTTTTCCCATCTCCCCTCACAGTCCTTCCGCGCCGACCCAAAAGCGTCAGAGGGCGTGGGCCAGCGCGGATCGTGTTTGAGGAGAGGTAAAGAGATGTGTGGAGGGGTCAAAGAATTTTGACATATTCTGGGCGCTTTTAAGCGAAGTTGACAGTTACTTGTAAGATTCAACGCAGTGGAGCGCTACCAGTGACACAAACCTCACTCCTCCTGCCAGTACGACTGTATCTTCTCAGGCTTGGAAGACAAGTACCTGAGAAGGAAAGAAAACGTACCTGAGGAGGAGAATTGGGAGTCCGGTATTCTTTGCGTGGGATATTGTCATCCTCAATTTTCACGTCTACACAACTTCTTCTCGGCAGCAGCTTCCGGCGTTGACCACTCCGTACCTCGGAACGCAGATAGGCGTCCAGTTGGGACTCGGACAACTGGCATTTGCCGGCCACCGAAGCGAAGGGCGAATCATCCTGAACAGGCAAACTTTGGAAAACACTCTGAAGGAAAACCTGGTGTAAGATTACTTTGTTCACAGCCTGAGCAAAACTACTAGTCGAAGGGAGATTTGCAGCTATAGTACCCATCTGAGGCCGAAATGGTGAGCAATGAGCCGCAGTTTGGCGAGCCCGTTTAGCCTCGTGTGGGAAACTTTCGTCTGCCAAATACGAATCATACTCGTGTGGGCGCTTCAACGCTAGTCCACAAGCCATCCCTAACCTGTAACATGGAGAATCGATAAAGAAGAAAGTAGATTACAAACGACCGTTCCGAGTAAAAGCGATGAATGATGTGAGAGTGGCAAGAATGAAGCAACGATGAAGATGACTGCGGTATCAATCGATCTTATCACGGTGCAATGCCCTGCTTTCTTTGCAGGAAAAAGAATGATTACTCGGTTGGATGAGAAACAAATCTGCATTCCAATGTGCAAAGCACCAATAAATGTTCATTTCTTGCCACTTAAATTTCGAAAAAAAAATAAAGTTAGCCGGCATTCTGAAAAAAGGACAAGAAAGACCCCAAAAGGATTATATACTTAGCGTCAAATTTTTGCTTGACGTAATTCGCAATGTCTTCGCAAATGATACATTCGAAGGAATTTTTTTGTGTACGAATGTCATGACTTTCCGCAGCAACCAAAACCGTTTACACCTTTCATCATGTAAGCGGATTTCTTACAAAGCTAGTAGAATCCTTTCTATAAAACTCAGCAACCGCGCTATATGAGGGTATCTAATCTCTCGGCAATTTCGTAAGTGCCAATTTCAAGAATTTCCATCCGTTTACACTACGATGACGGTATTTCGAAAAGGACCATTTTTTATGAATAAAGCAGAATAGATAACTCTGAGTTGTGAACATGTGTCCTAAGCTAGTATTTTTATTCGTTAACATCAATATTTTTTATCGACCCACGGTCTTGATATTTTTTGATCCATGGTTTGATTTT